CCATCCCACTGGGTGGGGGGAAGCGAGTGAGCGGCTGTGTGGTGCTCAGCTGCTGGCTGGGGTTAAACCGTGACACAAACACAAGCCTGAACTGATTCCTTTGAACAGCAGCATTCAACTTTAACTGCAAATGTTGGAGTCCTTGTTCATGTTATTCAGTAGCTGATAATTAGCTTGTAACCCTTGTGATTACAAAACTGAAGCTTATGCTTACACTGGATTTGTCTAGCTTCAGCTTGTAGTCAGTGGATCATGTATCTTTCCTACAGCAAACGGCCTTCACCTATTGAATTTTTATTCCCCAGATAAGCAGTCAATGATTTGTTCAAAGAAAACCATTGGCTTTTAAATAGCCTTCATGTAGTGCAGATATCAGGTCGCTATGTGACAGTCCTGCAGCAGAGGCACTGCATAACACAAGCATTTTGATATTAAACTAAAAAGCAGCCAGATTTGATAGTGCTTCTCCAAGAAATCAGAACAAGTAGACATCACAGGAGCGCAGTGAAATGAGAAGTTGCACGAACACATATAACGTAAAGCAGAAAAGAGAAGGAATTTAAACTGGGTCTCATTCAGTGCTGTCAATGACTAAGTGGATGTCCAACAATAGTGGAGTTATAGTTGAAGTTAGTGGAGGGATCCATTATATAAGTTTTAGAGGAAACCCAATTTAGACCTGAATGCTGAAATGGGAGAGGTCAGGAAAATTGTGCTGACCTTCACGAGAAACTGAATCTCCAGAAACCTTTGAGCAAAAAATCTGCCAAAAGCCTGTAGAACAGGTATTAACAACTAACTGAAGGGCCTTTCAGTTGGAGAGCTATAGTCAAAGTGAAGTGAAATAATTGACTACCAGGCAGCGCCAAGCAGAAAAGACACTGTCTGGCAACTTTTTGTTGAGTGGAAGTGTTTCAAAGGCTCACGATGAGTAAGCGTAAGGAGTACATTGTATACTAAGAATGTCTAAGGTGTTGTGTGAGAATGTAAAAGCAAACCGTATCCTGATGGAACACGGTTAATTGATTGAGAAGCTGAACAAAGTTGTCATTAAGAGATGTCTTGCAACTGTTTGGGGTGGCCTAGGCATGCTCTCACAGCAAGCAGAGCTCTGACTGCAGGCCAGATACGTACACTCATATAATCCCAGCCTAAGCGGTGGAAGTGATGCTCATACTGATGCTAGCGGCACAGGCATCAACCCTGGCTAGCCCAGCCCAGCCACCAGCCTGCTCTTGGTCCTGGGTGCAGACAGAGCCAGCTAGCCTGTGCTACCACAACCTGGTGCTGCTTGTATCTGTTCCCTGTAGGCAAAAGCTAGGAAGAACCTTTCTGAGCTGAAGCTGCCCCATCGTTCTGCAGGGAGGCTGCCTAGAGTACAGTTTTAGGGGCAGCTAATGATTCACTGCAGCAAGAAAGAAAAAGGCTCATCTCCCTTTTTGTCCCCACTTTGCACGCACGAGACCTTTCCGTCAGCCCTTTAAGTCTCTAGACATGGAGAACTAGCCAGCTCTTTTGCTACGTTTTTCTTCCCAGCTCAGCGAGCTAACATGGCACACGCAAGACTGCAACACAGACCAGCGTCAGCACAAGGTAAGAAATGGGAGGGTAAAGGCAGGAGGGGAGACCTCCCTCCCCTTCGGGTACCCTTCCACTTGGCCGAGCTCCTGGCACTGCAGCCTTACTCTGTGCAAAACCATAGCAGTTTCACCCAAAAGCAGGCTTTTGCCCTTCACATCTTTTATTTAATTTCTTGATGCATGTCACATCCTCCAGTGATTTAAATCCAGCAGGGAAAATAACCTAGAGAAGTGCTGTGCCCATTTACCAATTAGGGTTGTTTTAATTTGCATGAATAACATTATGCAGCCTTTTACAGCTTTTTCTGTGTCCTCTGCCAGATATAAAGCCAATATGGAAACACAAGACCCTTTTGTTTCCAATTTGAACCCAGTCAGATTTTATCAAAACAGTGAGCAATCCTTCATAGGCCCATTGATTTTATGTTCTACCCTCATTTTGCACTGAGGTCATCTTCCAGGATTGTAATAGGATGCCCTTGGAGCAGAAGCCTTCATATCCCCAGGTCGTACTACACCAACTTCCTTTGTTATAAGAAAAATGACTAACCTTTTTCCTGCCTGACCTTGAGACTATCTGACATTACATTTTTAACCACATACACTAGCACTGGGAGGATTATCTCCTTAAACATATAACCATGCAACAGGCAAAGGAGTTTCTCCTTTTGTAAAAATTAACACATGGTATTCCTTTCTTGCACACGTCCCCTTCTGAACCCATTTAACAAAATGCTAGACAAACAGTGTTTTCTCAAGTGGCCAAACCAGAAGGTGGCTGTGCAAACGGAATAGAAGGATGGAAATTATAATGAAGATGGCAAGAAAACACCATGAAGAGTCACAGCTTTCTAAGGAGCAGTACAGGACTCTTGGTTTTTTGTAATGGATGTACAATCTTCTGCCCTACGGAAATGGGGTGGGGGGGAAGAGTCATAGGGCTGATCAGTAAAATGGGTGGTGGAATTTAGGAAAACACTTCAGAAAGGAAAGGACTCTGAATAGAAGCATGCTCATTGGCTAATGAAATGGAAAATACAGACTATAAAAAGACATCATACGCCTTTTTAAAAATGAAGATAGGAACAAATTGTATGGAAACAGTGGAAAAGACGAAGAGGATCTCAGGAAACATCAAAAGGGCATAAAAACAAACCAAGGGAAAGCCTTTCTTGTGATGTAAAGGCCAGGAAAGAGCTACTTCTTTTTTCCTTTTAATCTTTTTAAAATTGTGGAAGGGACTTTCCTCTGAAGATAAGTTTATGAGCTGCAGCGGTAGAAGCAATCCCCTGTTTATGAGCTGGCTGTAAAAGGAGGCTAAGTGCAGATACTTGGAAGGTGTGGGTGAAGGCCTGTTGCAATGCACGCATACAGTGCCAAAATGGGTTAAAAGACATGAGAAGAAAGGTCTCCCTGAAGCGAACAGCAGCAGGAGCACATGCAGCGATTCAGACAGAAGATTTTTATACGTAACACAATACCTCCTTCCTTCTTCAGGGGACACCAGGAATACAGGCGTAAAGGCAAAGAGAAGAAAAAAAAAAAAACAACCAACAAACAAACCCCCAAAAACAAACACTAAGGAAAAGAAGAATGTATCTATATAATAATTCTTCCTGACACAGCCAGGGATAAACCAATTGGTAAGTTTGGGCTTTATAAAGTCATATCCCTCTCAGCAGGACTTGCTTTCCACTCTACCTCCCCCTGAAGATGAGGCAGGGCTGGGTTCCGATAACATGGGTGTGCCTGATCTGATCCATTTCCAGTGTGTGCGAGCCAGCACAATCCTTCCTGATTTCTCTGTTCAAAGATGTAGGACATATAAAAAAATTTCTTTAATGATTTTTAAAGTGTTTTAATTGAATTTTCTAAATGCTTAGTCATATCCCTATTCATGCAGTTAATTCTGTCCTTCCTTCAGTCCCTGAAGCCACAACAAGTAACTGTATTCACTGTTAATCCAATCGTGGTAAAATGTCAAAGTTCTTCCCTTGCCTCCCCTCCCCCACCCCCTTTCCTCAGAATAAGGTCTTCTGAATTTCTACACCAACTATTGCACTTGATTAAAAACAAATACACACATCAAGTAATCCCCTCCCCCCACTGCCATAAAACCAGCATAACAAATACTGCAACTGAAAAGAAAATCTGTCGTGACAATTATTTTCAAAGTAAGTAACACTGAACATCAAATAACTGGAGACACTGTCTTTTCATTTAATGGAGAGCAGAGAATAATTCTGGTTGTGGTGGTTTCTTTTGTTTTTTTTAATTAAAGATCTTGTTTTACATGATGGCTGAAAGCCAAGCAGATTTCAGGGAATTTTTTTTTTTTTTTTTTCAGTTCTTAAATCAAGCAAAATAAATTCCAGGAGGAAAACAAAACCAACCCTGTCTCCTAGTAGTGGTACTGTATGCTAATACATTATTTTCAGGAATGTTTGTCAAGAAAGTCTGCACAGTGTTTGTATATTTATGGAAGTTTAACTCCCTGCTCCCCTAAGAAGCTGTTCCCTCATGCTTCTTCCATATTCCTTAATCTGACACAAGAAAGAAATCCACTGTACCCAGAGTCCCACCACCTACCTGCTTTGCATTCAGTTAGAGCACCCCAACAATTCAGTGCTAACAAAGGCTAATCTAGATGTTGCCTCTCTGTGTACTTCTTTCCCCTTGCAGGTTGCAGGGCTTGAAGCAAGAGAGTGCTTTGGTCTGCAAGACCAAACTTATGCACCAGTTATTTGCTTCTTTACAAAGTGGCCCGGTGATCTTGTCATTCAATGCAGTTCATCTTTGGGAGTCTTATGCCACATTTATGCGTTTCCTGAATGTGATAAGGAACAGTGCCAGGATAGAACAACTGCTAACTGTGGTCAATAGTCATCACTGGTCTAATTTACAAACAATAAACTCCCTGTGCAAAAGGTTACTAGCAGAAGCATCCAGTTTTGCTGCTCCTGAAAACTAGAAACCCCATATACAGATACCCATTAATTTAGAATCAAGAACTATTAATATATATGACTATATAATTTGGCTTATCATTCTAGTTGGATACAGAGAGAAAATTAACTTATTAGTCTAACAGGGCTGATACGCACTGTGGTTCACTCCCTCCTGATCACACTCTTTGCACTCCAGTCTAGTAAAAAAGCACACCTGACACTTGCAGTTGCTTGGATCCCTCCCAGAGCATCACACCATCTTTTGTGGGTGTGGGTCTGTAAAGTGGAAAACCCTTTGGATTAAGGCAGAAGACAGACATAAGCGAGCAGTTCATCACAGACATAGCCAATTAGACATAATTGGATTGAACAGGCAAATGACTGCCAAAAAGTATGCATTTATGTATTTACACCTTAAAGTCCAGGAGTCTTTGTAGCCTTCTCCATCCAGTCTGCACATTTAAACCAACAAAAAATGATTTGTATACACACAGCACTTAAAAAACTGGAAGGGGAAGCGGGGGGGGAGCAGCCAGACCAGCAGCTTCATCTTGGTATAATCATCCTTTCTATGGCACAAATGATGTGATCCCAGTTTTTACAAAATATTGCCAGCAGCGTCACTGCGAAAAAAGTGCAGATGATATGAAAACGGCTCTTCATCATAGGAGCAATGAACTTTGCAATAGTAGAAACGCACACTAAGATGACAGTCATGAAGGCCAGGATAACATTTATACATTTCCCCAGGAGCACTTTGGCATTAACTGTTTCAGACTGCTGTGCTTGCTGTTCTTGCTGATGGAGCTCCAGCTTTGAAACCCGGGTCTGGCATGATTCCAAGGCTTCCTGGAGACAGAAAACAAGAATTAGGGCAGCTGTATTTCCATACACCACTTTTCCCATTTTAGCTGCAGAGCCATCCATCAGCTAGATTAGAAATGTAATTTATTATAGACTCCTAAAATTTGAATGAGCCACCAACTTTTTAAAAAATAAATGCACATATATACCTGCATGTGTGTATCACTGCCTGCTCAGGCACAATCAAGTCTGACAACACTGTCCAAAATGTAGTTTTTACATTCTTCATGCTTGAAAAATAGTATCATAACTCGAATGTTCATGACAGATGTTTCCTGCATATACTGATGAGATAAAGTACTGGGAAAGCTGTTGCCTTGGCAACTTTCACTGGATTAAACCAGCAAAGTTAGTTTCTTTGTATACGCTGTAGAAAACATTAGGGTAGTACAGGCTTGCTGTGATACTAATTACATCTACTTTGCAACATATAGCATTTGGTTTACACCATCTCTCTGGTCTACATTACTTTTTCTCTCAAAGACACCCATTGTACAGTGCTGGGCTTGAGTCTGCAGTAAGAGATTGCCTTCTCCCTCTGTCAGTGGGAAGGCTCATTAATCCACCCTCCAAGTGGGCAGCGTGCAGTGGAGACAGCTGAGAAACCTGTGGTGATGCTTTTATGGGATTCTCTCTCACACATGATATATCCAGCTTCACATTTTGTTCTAAAGAAAGCAGGCCTCTCTCTTCTGCCTGAGGGTAGACTAAAAATGGTCTTTGAGTAAAACAGTTCTTAAGTCACTAACCCCACACTTAAGCCCTCTCAAAGTGAAACATGGAAAAGTTTCCGACTGCTTCACTTGCTTGCCAAAATGCCACTTTTTGACAGAGTTGGGATTTGGGCAACCCTGTGTAGCATGGTGCAAGGCTATAATTTAATGAGATCAATCAACTTGACATAACCTTTTACCACTGTGTAAACGGGAAAAAATTCTGCTCCAGCATCCCTGCTTCCTTCCCCACTCTCAAACTCCAAATATTTTCCTTGCACTGGCAGGGGTGTTCACCTGATCACAGAGTAAGCCAATTCAACCCAATCCTCCGTGTAAAAACAAACAAAACCACTACACACAGAGTATTAGCTTTCTTTTGCTGGGTCAGTTCTCTGTTGTTTTGGCAAGTTGAACTGGCTTACCAGGTGACCAGCCAGGCACCAAACTGAGTGCAAAGCACATGGCATAGCACCTTACAAAAGACTGCTTCCTTTCACTGTTCTAGGAATTAGTAATAATACAGAAGACAGTTCTTAATGGGTGGCACAAAGTCCCTTAGGGTTCATGCATGGTCTCCACTACCCACTGAAGAACTTTCCTGGTCCTTCTTCCACTCTGACCATAATTTATTCTCAAATCATCTTGTGCTGCTTTAGAGAAAGTCCAGCTGCAAAAGTTTGATACCTGCAGCTCTGCATTGAGAGGCTGAGCAAGTGTTTTAAAAACGATCTGCCCATCCTTTAGGGACAGAGTGCTCCGAAGTTAGGCTGTTACTTAAAATATCCACAACTTAAATGCTTTTACTCTATTTTAGATTATTTGCCAACCCCACCAAAGAAACAGGTTTAAACAGGCCTAGCTGTACAGAGATAAAAGAAACAAGGCTGTATCAACGTAACACTGCAATTAGTGTTAAAAGTCTCTGATACCCCTCCAGGGTTCTGCTAATGAGTTTGTGAACATTTCACAGCCCTTCTGCTGGGGAACTCAGGTCTCACTCAGTTTTTACATCCTCAAGATGCCTTCACAGAAAGAAGTCCTGCACAAGAGACCTCTCTTCTTTAAACCTACAAAGGAACCTATTATATGCCTACATTCAGTACTATCCCTTTGCCACTCTGTTCCCTGGAGTTTCCTAACTCTCACACCAATCAGGAAACGGTGTGATCATCCTCCTGCTTGCACGCTCTATGTTAGAAATGTGAGCACAGGGGTGTACAGGACAGGGGTTTTGGTTTTGGTGGGGGTTTTGTGGTTGGTTTTTTTTTTTACCATCTGAGTCAATATGAAGACAGTCTTTGAGGATTCCTTAGTTGTTAGTGAATTTAAACCCAAAGTAAGGCAAAACAATGTTTTCACCATTTTTCACCACTTGCTCAGACTTTGGGTAGAAATATTATGTATTATATAAATGCTTATATTGTATATAAATACTCAAGTATGTAACTACATGCTGTCAGGACAAACTTGTAGACATTATTACTGGCTTTTGATTGAAGTCAGACATGACTACAACTGATCACCGAGGTGAACACACCCTACAGCGTTGATTATAGGGGCCATTGTGACCATGGATTAGAACTCTTAAGTTATAACTGGCAAATCTACAAGTCTATTTATCAATTAGCTCTCTCACTTATGACCTTAAACTCCATTTATAATAAACCTTGCCAGTGATATGACTACATATCAGAGAAAGTCTGAGCAAGAGGTTTGTGTTACAACATTGTCAAAAGTGGCATTTTACACAATACAAGGAGACTCAATTCCCTCCTCCTCTGGTGCAAGAAATTAAAACAGGCCATTCTTCACCCACGAGTCTGCCTAGGACGTATCATCAGTTCCAGCAGATAACATTCTGAATCCATTGAAACAAAAGGAGGCCATCACCAATTTAAACATGCTGGGTTTTCACCTTAAAACAGACAAAACATGGGCTTAAATAATTCCCCAGTTTCCTTATATACAAAGATGTAGAAAGATGCAAGTGTTTTTCACCACAAGATTTCCACAAAACGTCAGAAGTTGATGATAAGGGAAAAAAAAAAAGTACCTGAACATCACGTGATCGCTCATATGCCTGATACGCCACTTTCTCCTCTATGCTGGCTAGCTCTTGTTTCAAGTTTGCTGTCTCATGTTGATGAAGATCAGTGAGATCATTTAACTGGTCTTCCAATCTTTCATATCTTATTAGGAAAAAAGGTCTAAATTTAGTGCCTTCTATTCAAGTAATGCTAAATCATGAAAACAATTACACATTTTAAAAGGCAGTTTTCAGTGTGCTATGGATTCATCTGACTAGCATTACAGAGCACATAGAGAAATCAGTAAAAACTTTGGAAACTCTCCATAAGCATTTATTCAGCAAACTAAAAGCCTTTTCTGAGTGTTTCTTGCTGGCAGTGGGTGTTAAAAAGCAAATATTTGTACATCATTGGCAAATTATATGAACCATAAACAGTGCCTAAGGGTATCCAACTTACATTTTTCCATTTCTCACTCTTCATTTAGACAAGAAGATATGGTTTCATATGTAAGCCTGAGCCAGTTAACAGCTCGCCACTAGTGAAGGGAAAAATATGTTCCCTGGATCCCCTCTCAAACACAACTGCAAGGTCTTGCCATTCATGCACAGCCTGTTTTGGCACGTCGCTGCCTGGAAAACCAGTTCGACTAAACCTTCAGGAAACTAGAAAATTTTTTTGGTGATTTTGTGTTAAATCAAGTTACAACAACAGGCAAACACTGCAGTTGGCACAAAAATGATGGAGGCAAAATTGTCTAGCTGTGGAAATGGTGGCAGGAGGCTTAAGATCTTAATGGCAGCGAGCTGTCAGAAGAGGCTGCTCTGCCTTCTCCTGAAACCAAGTCCTGAGCTCAGTAGGCCATTTGCTCTGTTCTTTCCTCCCCCACATTACCACCTGGTATCCAGCCTTCCCTTGTATTTTAAGAACTGTACAAAAGGAAACATTAAATATTGTATTTCCTACTGAGTTTTTGCCCATTAGCATAGTAAAGACTTCAAGAATCAACACTTACTTTAACAAGCAATATGACAAATGGGATATAGGTACAGCAGGTGCAAGCCCTCTGTAGAACACATCTCACTTCCCACAGTGGATGATAAAGGAATTAATTGCCAAGTACCAAATGCAAGAGGAAGTTGCGCTACAGCACTTAATACTACATTTCACAGCCGCGTGTTACATCAGGGTACAAAGTGACATCGCATCCACAAGATAGGAATGTGTCTGAGAAGTATTTGGACAAGGTATTTGGGACTAAAGGGTATATTTATCAGCTGTAAATCAGCTCTGCTGCACCGTAGACTGATTAGCATTTTCAAGTCACAATAAATCAGAATCCTTCCACCAGTTACAAAACAATTGGCATCTCCTATACGCAGTATTCACATAATACGCTATGTCAGATGAGAGAATTTTCTGACAAGCCTTCGACAAAAGGCAAAGAACTACCACATTATTTGATAGGAAATATTAATGTTCTACATGTATTTTCAATTATTGGAAGGAGTGGAACATCTTGGTAAGAGATATTGATTGGAACTATTTTTTCCTCCTGCTTCTGAAATATCACACACACAAGCACACACCCACATTTACACTTTCCAAATAGCTTCTATACCCATTCAAAAGTAATTTCAAGAGAACAGTTGAAAAAAATACCTATATCTTTCCTCTTGTAACATCTGAGAAATAAAGCCATAGTCTCTTTTAAATTGTGTTTTTAAATTCTCAATATCATCAGCTAATTGGGACTGTGTCTCCTTGATTTCCCTTAGTTCCTCCAAAATCATGGAAAGCTTTCCTTGGCTGTCCAGGGTACTTGCCACGGCAGGACCAAAGGAAGTATTTCCATTACTATCTGCTGAGCCAGAGGTTCCACTTGAGCATTCATCATCACTAACATATTTTGGTTTGGCAACAATGGTGGCACTGCCCCCATATGTTCTAGAACTCGTTTCTGGCCGAAATTCATCCAAGGTATTTTTGAGATGAGCAATGTTGTCTGCACTACCAAATTTGTTTCGGATCAGGTTTGCAAACTCTCTAGACTTGCTGAAAACAAAGACAGGTGGTGTCAAAGATACACCCGGCACACCCGACTTGCCACTCTCTGTTCCATGCCCAGAGGTACGAGACTTTCCATGCTGACTATCTTTCAAGTTATCTTTGGAAGTATCCTTAGTAGTTTTGGAAGATCCATTTTGTTCAATATCCTTGAGCTTTTTGTGATACTGTTCCAATTTCTTCTGCAGCTGGGCAATGGAGTGGGCAGATTTCTGGTTCTTTTTCTCAAAGACTTGTTTAATGCGCCCAGCCTGTTGCTTGTCTGCACTGTTTACCAGTTTCAAATACTCAGCCACGTTTCCATCTCGAGCTGTTTGTTCAACTTTGATTTGTTCTGTAACCTTGAGGATTTTCTGTTTCAAGCTATCTGCATTGAGTTTGACTTTGTGAAACTCTAGGACCCCATCTGGTACATCAAAGTTCAGGTTGGTGTCAGAGCCTCCACGGCGAATGTTAAGCGGTAAACTCAGGGTATTCATGTCATGTCTTTCCACCTGAGAGGGAAAATAAAGAGGAAAAAAAAAAGGAGATAAATGGAATTTGAATTTTACTTTTTTAAAATATAACTTCCAGTTTCCTTTTCTGCATGTAATTATAACAAGTACACAATTTAAAGTAGCTTATAGTAGCGAAATAAAATGAACTTTTCTTTGAAATTAAGAAGCATTTTTCTTGACTTCCCTAGGTTGATAAACAGCCCAAGGAACTGCCTGTCTTTCTTAAAAAAGCAGAAAGATGAATTAGAGTGAAAATTATTCAAGTACATAGTTTTTCAAAATCATTTACAGTTATTCACAAAACCAGAACAATGCCTAGTTAGAAAAGGTTCCCAAATATATTGTCCATTATTAAGAGTTTCAAAAAGATCATGATGGATAATCATGCCATTTTTCTCTTAGAAATGGTCAAACACTGACAGAGGCATAAACAGAATTTTCCCCTCTACAGCAGTGTTATAATGTTCAGTATATTCTACCAGGTTAAAGTCCTTTTTTGATACATGCTCCTCCCATGCAAATCTGTCACACAATTCAAAGTTTTTCCACAACTAGCTGAAAGTTCTTGGAAATTTACTGTATACTTCAGCAGGAAGCAGCTGCTAGTTTTTAGCGCAGAGAGCGTAGAGAAATAATTGACCTGCATTTGACTTTCCATGCTTGATGAAGATGCTCAACAACTTGATCTGCTGTAGCTAAGTCTGTTTTAATAGCAAATTCACTGAGTGGGATTTACAGAAAAAGAAACTCAGGAGAGAAAACTGCATTCACTCAGTACACATTAACAATGCTCTCAAGCATAACAAAACCAATCAGGCAACTTGGTCACAACACAAACACAACAGATTATTCACCTTTCTCAACTGAAAGGCAAGATAGTCTGACACAAAACATAAAAAGTATTTCCTCATATAAAGTCAAAGTCACATGGGAGCCATGAGACAAGAATGATCTAAGCAAAATAGCTCCATCCCTATTATCATCTTGTCCTAGCCTCTGTGACATAGGAGGTACATTTCATTAAAGCTGCCACAACATCATGTCTATAGAGACTACTTAAACAAACGCTCTAGCCATGATGGGTTTTCAGAGCTTTAACACCAGAGGGAACTAATACAATTGCTCAGGCAAGACCATTGCAGAAGACAAGGCAGAAGCTGACCAATGCATTTGTCAAATGCTTTAACTACTTTTTGCTTCAAAATGCCTGAGATACCATGTTAAAAGTTTGATTTCCAACTACAGTATTTATTATCGTCTATAACACCAAAGATCTTGCAGCACAACCTATGCGCACATAAATGTGCGGTGATGACCATTCAATCTTTTTCTTGATTAAAAAACCCAAAAACATCATTAACCATTGCTGTGAGGTTTGTTTTCCCATCCTTGTACAATTTTGGTAGCCCTCCTGGAAATTCTCTCCAGTATTCCTGTATTGCCCTTAAAATACAGGCTCAGGAATCAGACATGGTGTCCTACTGTTAATGACATGCATCATGCACAGATTGATCAGGAGAACTATTCTCACCCTGTGTCTACTATGATGGGTTTACAAATACAGAGGGGGTAATACAGCCATAAAATTGGATCTGTACCTGACCATTTCAGAGACAAGATCATCTCTACTCGTACTTTATATTCTTATCCTTATATTACTGAGGATTACAGTACTTTTTTTTCTTTTTTCCTTTCCTTTTTTTTTTTCTTTTGCTACTGCACTGCTCAGGGTGCAAACCAGGTAACATAAAAGTTCACATTCACCAACCTCTAAGAAAAATGGACACTTGAAAAATGCAAACTGAAGACTTCTGGAGTTGACAATTGCTTCTGGAGAATATTGGTTAATGGTGACCTTTAAGCCTTGGACTCTATTCCGAGGATTAAACCAGTGCTGTGGCCTAATAGCTTTGCACTTTACCAGTTTGTTAAAAATAATTTATATTGAGCCATATGCTTAATAGAGGTGTAAGCAATTTTTATAAATATATAAAATTTGTATATGATTTAATATCATCAGTCATGTGTGCTTCACTGAAAATCTACTTTATTGATGAGATATCATTTTAGTATTTGCACGGATATGACTCACATGGATGGCATTCTATATTCAGGTGATACCTAATTTAAAGAGTGACTGTCCTGGGTTTGGCTGGGATAGAGTTAATTTTCACAAGAAGCCGGGAGGCGACACACAGCCAGGACAGCTGACCTGAA